GTTGAGCGTCCTTATTTTCTTCACTTAACCTAATTGACTGTTTACCAAACTTTATCTAATTAAAAATACAGTTAGCCGCCATTGTCATACGATGATTTACGGTCTAGTTTTACATAATAATGGATTCCTCGACGTCTCGGCGCTTTGTTTTCAAATTACATATTTTTTTTGTCTGCCCATTGTTCCGAATGTCACAATTCTTGTGTTAAAGCGAAACATGGTATCTTTGTTTATACTAATTGTGTTATTTTGTACAGCGCACACTTCTGAAATCGTCGACACGTTAGACTGACTAATACAGGGTGTTTTCTTTTGATTCTTCCTAAAAACATCTTTTAAAGTGCCAAAATATCGTTTTTCATACTGTTAACATGGACCACAAATTTTTAATTCCAAAAATGAGTGAAAATACAACCACAGGGCGTTAGTTTCTAATATTTTTCTCTGAAATGTCACCGTAAATTGCTAGCAATATTTCTTTAGCAAAAATTGGAATGGAACAATAGAGACTTATCGCTTTTTGTTTTCCTTTATGGCAAATATTTGAAATTACCGTTTTCAATTTCGTACTTATATATGACAAACTTGTTTGTCATGGCGAATAAAGTTATCAGACCGTTTTTTAGACTAGTAGATACTTTGTGTTTAGTAATACCTTTTTGTGACATTAGCGAAGGTGAAGATATATATTTACTTTCCGCAAAATTTTGAAGGAAAGATGACAATCCTCTTCCCTTCTTTTGATTGATTTGGATTTTGTGATTTAATTTGTCATTCTCGATTCATCAGCTAATTGTATTATATTTCGCATAAGCAGTCAAATCGATTGTAGAACTTGATGCATGTAATAACGCAAAAAAAGCTACAAAAGCAAAGGCTGCGACCTTACGGAGCTCAGCGAAGTTATTTCGCTAATGCAACAAAACTAAATAGACGTTATAGTAAGGTAAAACCGTTAATGCACCTCGTCTGCAAATTGGAATTCATTGAACCTTATCGGCAATTGCTAAATTTTCCACACCGCGAAACCAGCAGCCCTACATTGTTAATAGAATGACAACTTTGGAAAGTATTATCGATTCAAATGATAACAAAACGCGTTAAAAATTGAAATATATTTTTCAATTAATACTGTTTGTGTTTCAATGAACATTGCAAATTGCCTAGCGGTTGTGTTCAGAATTAACTTAATAAATAATTTTTAGTATTCAGCAGTTCTTTCTACAGGTGTCCATGGCGAACTTAACGTACTGTAATGGCAGGAAAATATAGTGGGTCAAAATTTGTGGATTTGTGTGATTCATGATTTTTTTTCTTCATGAATTTTATTGGAATTAATTTATTTTTATATACACCATATGATACTAATAGCAAAATTCCATATTCCCAAGATGGCATTGGGAAACTTTTGGCACCTCAGAAAATTTGGCACTATTTTTCCACTACTAAAAGTATAAGAAGATTGAGAAAAACAATGCATTTAGCAATTAAATCGGATCGCCTTAATATTAAGTTAGCAAAGAAAATATGTTAATTTCTCACATTAGAAATTGATATAAAAAAGTAAAAAAACTAAGCTTTCCCAATATTTATTTTAAAAAAGAAAAGTAATAGTTTTACTTAACAATTTTCAGTTATGTCATATAAATTTCGATAATATCATAGTCAATGGGAAATAATACTAAAAGACATGTACTTATAAATTAATAGATATTAAAACCTAATTATTTAACCTAATATGAAATTTTTTCGCATGTGACTATCTAGATTTTGTATATAAAATTACAATAAGAACTGGTAGGTATTATTAACACCAAACTGAAATGCAAAAATATTTGCTCGAAATGTTATTGCTAAAATAATATTGAAACACTGATATAAATATATCAGAAATTTATTGCTATTTCAAACGTCGACATATTATGAAAACAATTTCAAATGCAAGGTTTTTGTCAGTGGTTCAATATGTTACTATAATATGTCAGTATTTACTAAAAACGTATACAAAGGGTAAAGTAGCAGTAAAGTAAAAAAAAATAGTTGTGCAAAATTGCATTACGAATTGTTATTGATGAATTAAAAATTGAGGACAGTGTGATAAAATCAATTAAGGGGATATTTACAACTAGTTAAAAAATAAATAAGATCATTTACAATTTTTTTTTCAAAGAAAATACAAATATAATGCTGGGGATTTTTTTGCTACACATTTATTAAGTATTAAGCGAAAAAAGAATGTTGGTACAAAATACTGTCATGGTGGCCAGTTATATGTCTCTTATCACCTTTAAACAAAGGTCCACTTTGTGTAAGCCATAGAAGTAAATTTTATTTGAAATCAAAAATCAAAAAATACAGGGTGTACCAAAAATAAGGTTACAAACTTCGCCAGCAAATAGAACACTTAAAATTAGTAGGGATAATTCATATAAAATTTTTGCCTAAAATGCTTCCTTGGTGAGATACAGGCTGTTGAAAAGTGGAAAACATTTTTTTTCAAATGCTTTGTTAACGGTAGGAGGGAATAATCCCAAATTTGCTAGGAATACTACACTACATATCCCTCATAACCTGAAGCGTTCAATGATTAAGTGTGTAATCCAGGGTGTAATCCAGGTATGGGGAAGCTGCACCCCTTTTTTCTTAAATATTTCTACGCCACTGACTTTAAAAAAATTTAGGTGAATTTCTATATTGCCTGTTCCCTTCAGGGCAAAAAGTGTAACTTGAATTTTTTGTAACGATATTTTCTTTACTCCCTGTATGTGTTTGTAGTTGGAGAATATACTAATAAAATCAATAAAAACTCGGAAAGAAAAAAAACACGGGCATACGAATTTTAGTCTGGATTTTTCAAATTTTGAAAGTTAAAAAAATATAAAAAAAATGATTTTTTCCCGATTTTATTAGTATATCCTTCAATGAATTCAAATTACTTTAAATAAAAAAAAGAAGTCGATATCTTATTGGGTTCAACACGTTTAAAATTGTTCTTTAGTTTTTTGACGTGTATAGAAACCATAAAAGGGCATAAATATTTCATGACTACCGAAAAATACCACGTACATACATTTATTTTTGCAATGACAAAAAAATTCTCGAAAATAGAATAAAAACCTAAAAAATACCTAACTACATATAAAGTATTTGCTTAATTGATACGATAGCTCACGTATAAAGTTAATTTTGAAAAAACCGCTTGAGTACCATATTCTATGTACACATGAATCTACCAAAATAAGATTTTTTTTGCCATTATGGGATTGAGTTTCATGTAAATACCGCCTCAATGAAAAATCAGATATTCCCGTGTTTTGTCAAGGAATAATAGAAAGAATATACGGTGAATTTTTTTGTGTGATTAAAAATTATTAAATTTTCCAAATCTAAAAAGGTTTTTAGATTTTGACCTCTAGAGTTTGTTGGCTTTTAGTCAGTGGCGGCTCGCCAGGTGACGCAAGTGACACACCGCTTCTCCTAAAATTTCCGTTTGGTTGTGCAATTTAAAATTATTTTTAATTTTATATACATTTTATTATTTAGGTATAATTTTATATTGAAAATGTATTGTGTTTGTTTTATACACAGAAATAAACAGAACAGTTGCGCGATGACCGCCTGCTAAAAAAATATTGCCTTCGTTGAGCAAGCGATGCGGATCAAAATCAGTTTGTATTTCGCTTCACTTCATAGCATTGTTTACGGCGGTTGTCATCGCAACGAGGCGGCCAACACGTGAGTAAACTACGGCGTGGGGGAACGAGTGACGCGAGCATCGCCATCGCCCATCACCTGCCTCGACTTTAAATATTTTATACGATACGTCGCCCAGTGCACGATTGTAACGGTTCTTTGTTAATATTTGTTTTGTATCAATAATTGTAGAAATGTTTCCTATGTATGATCCAGTATGTATTTTATTGGAAACGCCATTTTCCAGATGGAAAATTGAGGACAAAAAGGATTTTTTAAGTTGTTAGAGACCTGTGCCTTCTCTCGATGTTGAAAAAAGGGGGAAGTCAAAAGACAGTGTGCGTTCGGAAGTTTCGGAATGAATGGTATTCGGAGTATAAGTGTTTATTTAAAAAAACTTTTCTGTATGTCGAGTTTAATTGTGTTCCTATTTTCTATAAAATCTTAATGAAAATTCTTCTAGCGAACGTCAGTATTTTGGTAATATTGCAAATGCAACTAAAAATTTGTAGATTCATTTAAAGCCGCTTGACCTTGAAAATTTGAAAATTTTAGTTTTTTTTTCTTTTTATACCTATTCTCAATGTCACGAGCCGCCACTGCTTTTAGAGACACATAGTGTATAGAAAAAAAAAAAATAGTTCCCATGGACAATTCGAAAGCTGTGACCAAAATCAGTTTTAGTGAAAATTCGAAGATCGCCCTGTACATACATAAATTGACACTTAGGATACAGTCTGTTCCTAATTTAAAATATTGTTACTAATTAACTTGTCAATTTGTTGTAGATTATTTCAAATCATCAATCTTGACAAAAAAAAATATGGCCATCTTCCCAAATTTTTTAAAGATTGTTTATTAATTTGAAGATATTCCTCAACTTTGCAATGTCGTAATGTTAAAAAAAAACTTGATTTCAGGTACATATCTATCAATTTAGATATATGTTATAAAAAACAATACTAGGACTCAGATTTGGTTGTCCTGGTGGCCATACTCCTTTTATTATTACATATCAGAATAAGTGGTGATTTTTCTCTACTAGAGTATCAGTTAGATCTCAGTGCGTTGTATCTTCGCTCTTTCAAAACATTCTCTGGACAAATCGACCAGTATACCCGTCGTCCCCTTGGCCGCGGGCACCGTTCGAAAAAATACGTTAAAGGATGCCTCCCACCTCCGTATACGCCGCCGAGCGGTGCACAATCCACACAAACAGCTGTTTCTGAATGCGCAGAGGGGGAAAGGCCACGGAAGGCCGATTGAGAACAAGAATTCTCAAAACAGTTCAGTTCACGTCGCGAGAAAGGAAGCATCGTACGTGTCGAAGGCCGGACGAACGGAACCTTCACAGTCCGTTTTTCGGTGTTAGTCTTGTGGATTACTGGGTTGGATAAAATTAAAAGGAGATAAGATGGTTCGCAGTTTGGCCCAGTGGACGAAAACGCTGAGCTTCCCCGCCAGGATATCGCCGAATAAGAGTTCGAAGGACAGTGTTAACATACACCAAGTCAGTCCTACTATAACTCCGACGCTGAGTAATAATTCCTTGTCTAAAAACAACGAAATTAACACCATGATGAACAACAACCATTCATCCTTGACTGAAGTTAACCAAGTAAGTGCGAGAGAATATAATTTCTGCGATTTCAATGAAAATTTGTATGTCATGCGATTCGAGGCCGCGAGAGCTGCCTGCATCTGATGAAAAATGAGACGATGCAGGTAGCAGGGACGTGTGCAGGTATACCTTCCTATCTGCAAGTTCGAACAAGTCTGTGTTAGGTCAGTAACTGTCTACATAAAATAACAAATAGGTTCCTGGGACAGCGGACATATCTTTTCCTCGTTTTGGAAAGTTTGTCAATTTTTAAACTTTGAAAACGTTGAAACGTGATTCGATTTTTTTTTTAGACAGAACGACAGAGTATCAATGTCATAAAAGGTAGATAAGAAAACAACTTTTTAAAATTTGTCTTGCTGCTAAATTTTATTATTTTCTGCAGCTTAAAGTTCCGTAAAAGATATCTGTAAAAGCAGAAGTGATTTAGATAAAACACCCTCTAGTGTGAAGATCATAGAGACTTCTGTTGTTATTAAGCATAATAACGACGAAAAAAAAACGTACGCATTTTCCACTCTTTTCTTTTTCCAAAAAAGAAATTGAATATCGCGTGTCCCAAATTTGTGATTTTTTTAAATGAAACACCCTGTATATTTTTACATATTCGTATAGACCACTTTCCTACGATTACAGTGATATAAGGTTCGATTGGTTTATCTTTAATAGTACGGAAGATATGGCCAAAAATGTGCCGCATACGCGGAATATGTTATGCCAGTCACACACGTAACGACAAATCGTAACGATTTATTCCATTCATACGGAACAAATTTCTGAGCGAACCATCAATTCGTCGGATAATCTGCACAAAGAAAAGATAAAATTGTCTGTTGAGAGTAATGAATAATCTCTTTTTAAAGCATTTGCCTTAAATCTTTGTAGCCCTGAGAAATCGTTCTAAGAGAATATGCAGAAATACAATAAGTTTGGTAGTATTTTTTCCCATAGCGATGCCCGAATGTCTTTTTTGAAAACGTTAAAAAAATTCGAAGAAATATCTACAACTTTTGTGTCTAATATTTTTTTCTTAAAGAAGTACTAGTCGATATAAACCCTACACAAGATAACGCTGTACAAATATATACACTCGAAGATAATTCAATTTGTTGACAAAGGATCTTCTTTCCGGCGTTATTTTGTAACCAAACATCACGTACTAGCTTGAAAATATGATTACATTAAAATTTAGTAACTGTTAAGATTCCTGAAATGAGGTCATCGAGTAAGGTGGTGAATGGTTACCCCAATTATCGCAATAATTGGAAGAAAGCGTGAATCATAACAACAAATAAACATAGAATGGGATTTTACGATTGAATTTATCGTTTCAGTTTATTATGTGGTATCTATTTGGCTTATCCAGCTAGAATACTATACCGACAACGTCAACGGCAATCTATTAATTTATATTTAACAGTTCACTTCCTGCTGGGAAGGTCAGCAGGAAAGAAGAAAGACGAACGTTTGCCGTTTGCTACACCGATTAAATTGATTCCTTCAACGAATAGAATTGATAGTCGGCTAGGTCTATAAAAATGTCACAGGTAAACGGTTTATGTATCTTTCAACGAAACCGCCTTTTGTTTGATTAAAATCCACGGAACTCTTTGATTTACATGTTTACCAAATAACATTCCCGATAAGATTGCAGGGTAATGCGGGGAAAAGGTTCAATACCCAGGAACAAGGGATCCTCTGTTGCAATTTTACACCTTCATTTGCGATAAATATTTACCAAAAGTAAGCCTAATCGAAACTATCTTGTGGTTACTTGTCCAGACTGGCATTCGCCGAGATGTTTTCATTATCTTTTTATGACACAATTTCAGAGACGCAAACCGCAAGTTTTAACAGTATAAAATGTATTTTTCATGAGGCATGACTCCGGAGAATGCCATTTGAATAGCTTTTACTAACCTTCGGAATTTTTATTTGAAGCAGAGGAATTGGTGTACGTACATACGGCTGCATTCCACAATTAATTTTAACGATTGTCTCATGCATGTTAAAAAGTATATTCGATATATAAAAATAATATCTATATACCTATTTTCGAGTTGTGAAACGTAAATGTAAAATTCCAAAACAATAGACACTAAGGAAATGAAAATTACAAAAGAAAGGAAACTGTTTTCTCCTCCTTTGTTAACGTAGCCAAGAGAAAATCTGTCCAAGTTAAAAAAGAAGTTATCTACCTTCGTCTAAAAGTTGGATCGCAACGCAACAAGATTGCAAAATTTTTACGACCATGAATTTTCAATTTTAATTAAAACGTATTTAAAGTCACATTTCTAGCAAATAATTTTCCATAATTTTGTTTACTGGAGTTATTTTAAATTGTGGACACTCACGGACATCTACGTATATTACAGACATCTACGTTTAGTTAAGAAATAACTTAAAATATACGATTTTACCAGTTTTTATTAAATTTAGGTATTAAATATTGTAATCTTCCAATCAAGGCGTTTTGAATCAATGAATTCATATAATTAGTCATATAATTCATTAGTATTAATTTTGACACCACAGTACTTACTTTGTAGGATTTTTTGGTATTCGATTTTCAAGAGTTTATCCTGTATTACAATATAAAATTTTCTTGAAAATTTCGTTCTATGTAAAGAAGTTATTCTTGCTAAAATCACAAAAATGCAGGAAATCAAGCAGCTTCTATTCTTTAACACATATTATAACATCCTCGGATGAAAATAAATCAATATAAAGTAAATTACTTTGGTACAATGTTGATTATTTAAAAAATTATAAGCCTTCAAAAACTAATCTTTCACGTCCTGCGTCTCAAAAACAAAAGACGGTATGGTCCTTTGGGAAATATTGAAAAATTGAAGGAACTCGTATGAAATTCATTGAAGTTTGAAATAAAAAATGAACGTTGTTTCGAATAAAATATAAGATCTGTAAATATCTGTAATTGTAAGACACCACTAGACATTAAAAACAGTGATTAAATTTTCAGTGGCGTCGCATTTCTAGGGTTTTTAGTGATATTGACCTCCCATATCTTCGCCAGTGCTGTATAATTTTTGTGTCTTTAATTAGTTCAAGTTTCATCATTCTACGTGAATCATCTCCAGAGACATTTTGGAAAATTTTCAGTTTGTCCTATTAATTGAGAAACGTCTTGTATAATGTCGACTTTGATGTTGATGAGCATAATCTGATGGATCCGAATTCTCGAGCTAGTGTAAATCGCCCACGTTTCACACAATTTTAAGGATTATTGATATGTGAAAACATGCCTTAGGAAAACAAGTAGGCGCTGGTAAGATCTCCAAATCGGTCTTGACATAATTATTGTCGGATTGTAGCACACCTGTCCAAAATCATCGACTGGCCTAGTTCGAAGTTTTTCCGTTGTTTTTACATGTCAAAAAGCGTACCTATCCCAAAATTCGAAGCCGCAGAAGGCTGCGATAAATTTATTAGCGTAACTAAAGTGGGTCTCGTAGTTTTGACGGTTCCCAGACATCTCAATTGGTAATCTACAAATAAACCAAATATAAATTTATGGTTTTAATTATTTTTAGACTTTAATTGAGAGTCTCAATTAAGAATTTGGCGCCTGTTGAATGAACGCGTTGCTTGCAGACACGGGTTTCTCCATTCTTAGTATTTGTTATTACTGGATATAAATAGAACAAAGTGGATTCAATTCTATGGTGTAACCTCGGTTACAGCCATTGTAAAGTTGGATGTTCAATGGTCTAGATACGATACAGTATTTATGTAGTTCAATTGACTATAATTTTATCAAGGATCCTTCGTTATACTGAGAAAAAATACCATAATAATGACAAGATAACGATTATCCCAATACGGTCGTTTATTACACGCAATTATCATAAACATTACTACTTTAATGAAATATACCGACTTTTTTAATACAATTCACTTTTATTCAACTGTAGATGGTTTAATTTTCAATTTCACTTAGAAAAAATTACGTATACAAGTTACAATGCAATTATTTACAGCAAACTTTCCTTTCTAAGACGACGAGCAAATAATTTAAAAGTAAATTAGAATTATTCTTTTTTTGCTTACTTTTCTAGAATTTAAAATAATTAACATTTTACAATCGTTAGAAGACTTGTGTAGGAACATTTTATTGAGATTTTATGATGATTTACTATGCTTTACTTTTCTGTTGAGTTGATAGAATTTATAACCAAAATGTGGGCACGTCTATTATGTGTGAAACAACTGGTCTGTTAAGGTTAAAGATAGTTTTGCAAAACCATATAATTCTTTGAATATTTTTTCTGTATAAGCACTTCAATTGCCTCCCTTCCATATACAAGGTGTAACTAAATATTTAGCCAAATATAAGCAAATTAACTAAAAAAGTTTCTATAAACACATGCTTGGAACAAACAGAAAATCTATCGTATGTTTCAAGTTACAGAAAACAATTAGGAGAAGTCATACAAATAAACCTTCTTTCGTTAATAAAGAACATGATTATTTGAATAATAACACTGGTCGACTATATTTTTCCCTAGGGTTTTCGATGAACTGAATTCGAATCCGCTTTAAATTGGTCCATCACATCTGGATTTAGAGATATCCTAACCTCAAAGTGAGAAAAACATGTTTTAATTAAGGTTATGTTACATCACTAGGTCATTCTCCACAAAACTCGTTAATGGTATCTGAAAGTACATATTACCTTTCTTCTTCAAAATCCATATTAAATATAAAATTAAAAATTCTTCTCTCTTTTTGAATCTTCATCTGAAGCTTCTCAATTTCGGAATATCGACAAATACGCCAAACTAACCAATTTCAGCACCCGATTTATGGGAAAGGTAAAGAGATATTTGAACGAACGAAAATTAGTACTTTCTGATATTACGAGTTTTGTGAAGAAAAATTACCTCGTAATGTGACATAACCTCAAATATAGAGAACAACCCTGTATTTCGGACTTTTAGTTAGTTTATCTTGAAACTATGACTAGGTACTACTTTGATACAGCGCGTCAAAAACCTCTGGAAAGGCATAGTTTGGTTTCTGGTTTCAAATATTGTCTGTCTTCGTAATTATTTTATTCGTGTCGACACTTTTCATAATAAATACCTAGAGATAGACTAATTTTTTATTATTTTTTATCCAAAATTCATTCAAACATGAAGTAAGAACCATTTTTGAAAAGCATTTAAATTTCTTTGTGTTCCGTTTCAATAGGTGTCCAAAATATCATATTGTAATAATCTTGGTAAACAAAATATCCCTCTTATTTCTCTCTTTCGCAATTGTACTATGAATGATTAATAGGTGCTTATAATAAATTAAAATTACTTGAATCACACCAAATTCCGCATTGCTGCACTGCACTGTTAGACCATTTATTGACAACTGAATTTATGGCCAGGTGGCCCAGTGCGGTTGTGTTTGTGCCGCGTTTTCCCGTGCGCTCGTTCTTCAATTGGACAACGAGACCTGTATATGGGTATGGTTAAATAAATATAGGAACAAGTATAATTACAAAAAATCGATTTCTTCTTAAATTATAATACAGTTCAACGAAGACGAGGCATTTCCGGACACATGTTTATACGAACTTATTTGTCGGTTTGTGACGTAAAATCTGCCATTAAAGTTTAGCCAAATATTTTAATTAGACTGCATATTAACTGGTTTCTATTATTTTATCGCAATTCCCGTTGAGCGAATAATTTCCGAATTTGTTACAATTAATTGTTAAGCCCTCCAATGATAAGAGTGCAATTACGTCTATTATTATCAGTATGAAAAATATCTGCAATTTAGGTAACAGTAGCTTTTCAAATCTATTTATTACCTACATCAAATATTTGTTGCAAATGGTAAATAAATGACGTCAAACGACAAGTTTAAGATGCAAAAATCCTTACTTTTAGCGAATAGTATACAAAACACTCGAAAAAACGTTTCTTGCTAAATAAAGAGATTCAGATCGGGAAAGATGTCTTCAAAAAGGAGACCATTTAAAAAAAAATTCATTTATTCGAAGCCATTTTAAGTTTGTACAGTATTTAATAGTTGATTTAACGATAAAAAATCCATATATTTATTTAACTGAGATCTGATAACAAATTTATCAGGTGTTTGAATTTGAATAAAGTTTTATGTGCTTGCATGTCGTCTGGGTTTAGTTTTATTGTTACATGTTAGGCATTTTTAGAGTAAACATTTTGAAGATAAACTAATTACTAAAAGATATTTAAATATTCACCAAATAGCCAAGTATAATGTACAACTTAAATTTACAACGGTTTTTAGAATAAATAAAATAGTTCATGCTTCTTCAAATGTTACACAAGTCGGCGTAGTAGAAACAAACGTTTAATCCTATTTACATTTTCCTTGGAATCAATTTCTGGTTAACCCTCAATCGATTTAAACGATAAAAACTTTTAATGTATCATAGTTCCATTCCGTTGTCAGCTATAGAATCGGTTAGTCGGACCCAATCGATGATTTCTGGGTATTTCACCGAATCGGAGGCAAAAAATTTGCCATTGTGCCGATCCGTCACTATCCGGTTTCTAAAGAAACTTTTGCCAGGATGTGAAAGGGACAGGCGGACGACTTGGGTGTTCTCCTTGTTTAATAATGCTCAGATGCGGGTTTATAACCGTGAAAAATTCGAGGGTGAAGATGGGCCGTCATTCACCGAATTCCTGACAGAATTACGACTTATTTGTTTGGATCAGTCAGTGTTTCTGTCAGTAGGAGCCGTTAAATGCAGCTTTTTGAGTGGCTGCATATAACACCAGTAAATAATGAGAATGAACTTTATTGTGCAATATCAGTATTTATTTGTGTTAATACTTGTCTTTTCTGATGCTTTTACGTTCTTTGAACACATTATACAGGGTTTTTCAGAGTGCCATTAACTAAAATTAGTGGACTATACAGGGTGTAAGAAGTTTGACTGCCATTACTTCAGCAAGAGATAGAGTAATCATAAATGAACAAAAAAGTTGTATATTACAGGGGCGTAAGATTAACAGTTTTCAAAATAGAGCGAGTATTAATATTGGGGAGTTTCATCACAACGTGTCAACAGCGTTTAACCTAACGCTACACAGCTGATGCATACCACGTGTGCATGCGGCACTTGTCCTACGGAAAAAATGTAAACAACTATTATCGTGAAACATAGTAAATTTCAGATTAGAAGAGTACATTTTTGTGTAGAATCATAAATTACACACGAAAATCTCCTCAAGAATGTTGTGATATTTCTCAAACTTCGAATTACAAATTTCAAAAATTATCGATTACTTTTAGATATTATCGTAATTCATAAAGAAAATAAACTTTTAAAACCTCAAAGTAATTTTATTATGATTTGAAGTTCTGTTATTTTGTAGGTATACCAACAAATCCGTAGCATTTGACATGTTGGATCCGGTTCGAAGGACCATCCATTTTTTTTTGTATAACTATTGAAAATAATACTTATATTTAGTAAAGACATTCCATTTTCGTTGTTGTGAAAAGAATCAAACTGTTTGAGAACCATCGAAACATCTAATTCACTTTTATATTCGTATTTATAATAATCGTTTTGCCGTTCTCAGCCAAATAAACAAAACACTGTCGCCTTATGTCCGACATCATATTTATATTTCTTTCAATTTAAGGTGCAATATTCTCTGTTAAGTGTTCATCTTCTCAAGGTCACTCGAAACGTCCTTGACAATTTCTACTTTGCGCAGACATTCTCGGCCACCATTTTTGCTCGTTTCTTTCTAAATGCCGTCGAACAGGAACAGGTTTGTACAGCAATGCAATTTACCGAAGAAGGTCCTCGTCGCTTCAATTTACATACTAATCGGGCAAGCGTTAATAATATTTTCGTAAGCGTACCCCTATCTGGGTCAAAGTAGACGGAGTACCGTTCCCCCGAGTATCTCATATCATACGCTTCGACGATGATCTCACTAGCTGGATTGTCGTGTTCTGGCATCCGTTGCGAAAGGCGTCAGCTTTCGGCCTCCGAAATGCTTTTAAAATTGGGAAATGGCCACTTTGTCGGCGCGGCCCTCCTTTCTTCACATATTTGATACATGCCATAACGCTTATGTACTTGGTTTCATCATAATTCTTGTCTTGGTTTTTTATCTCCTAGAATTTTGTGATATCAAAAAAAAAGAACCTTAATATACACATTTCCTTCGACGTATGCAGGGTGAAAATCAGGTAAAAGGCCTAGCCACCAAATCTATTATAATATCTAATAACTAAATAACTACATATAGATTATTTTTATAGTGCATTGTCCATGTTATCAAACCAAAACCTTGTAACATATGAGTAGCTCCATAATCTCACGATACACTTTTGTAGCACGGGATCATGAATTGTAAATATCCTTTGACATGACGCGATGATTCTATTTGCAACTCAGGCGCCGTCCGCTGCTGATATTGAGAAGGTGAACAACCCGAGTAGCGCAAGGAAGACCAGAACATCATCTACGGTTAAGCGAAAAACCGTATCTGCTCGCTGGATACCATTGTATTACTTCCACATGATATTCCAAAAGAATTTTTATTATACTAATTAAGTAGTAACGTTTTTTCGTGCCATCCGCGTTGTCAGCGAAAAGAGAATGTTATTATAATGATAACCATTGTATACAAATACGTATACGTATAATTGGTACAGGCACAAAGTTGTTACATTTTGGTCTAGTGTCATTTTTTATTTTTACGCCGACTTCCTCTTCAAATTGCTTTTACGAGGAACCGAGCCCGCTCTCTGGAATGTCAAACCGCATCGTACATGCTTGAATGACTCACGTGCATCGCATCTATTATAAGGAATTAAAAGAAAACCACCATTACCATTACATCATGTGTCGATGAATCGTGAATAAAATACACTTTATTTTCATTGAATCAGTCATCCTCCCTATCCCAGATAATACCGAATGCGATAAGCGTACAGTTATTCGTCTTCTTTCTCACCACAGCCACCACACTAGCGAATATTTTAAGGTGTTAACGATATATGTGTGTTTTTTATCAATATGTCAATATGTCTGTAATTTTAAAGTTTATTTCAATTGTTACAGATATATTCCGACCCAGAGTCTGAGAAGGCTATTATGAGCTCTGTAGTCTATTGCATCCATCACAAGGAGGGTTGCAAGTGGTCTGACGAACTTAGGAAATTGAAGGTAAAACAATATTTCGATTTATAGTTCACTAAATATGGAAACAATCTTCATAGTTTTAATTATGCCTTAGCAAAGGCTATATTCTAATAAAAAAATTGCCAAAGTTGTTCCTTATTTCATAAATTTCAAGTCTGTGTAACAAAAATTAAAATTATATCCCGACAGTCTTATAAATAACGCAAATATATAATTTATTCTTTTTCAGGGTCACCTGAACACTTGCAAACACGACGCCATACCGTGCACGAGTAAGTGTGGCGCCCAAATCCCCAGAGTGTTGATGGAAGATCACCTGAAGTACACCTGCCCTCAGAGAAGAACCAGGTGCGAATTTTGCAACAAGGAATTCACTGGACATTCCTTAGAAGTAAGTTTAAAAAAGTTTTTAATGCTATCCTCAACTTGATAAATATTTCTCTATCCCACTTCTTTCTTTGTAGAACCACGTGGGAAACTGCGGCTACGAGCCGCTCTACTGCGAAAACAAGTGCGGGGTCAAAGTCCACAGACGTCACCTCAGCCAGCACAAACTAGGAGACTGCTCCAAGAGGCTCCTACCCTGTAGGTACTGCACCAAGGAGTTCGTGGCTGACACTCTGGCCGCGCACCATATAAAGTGTGGAAGGGTTCCTATTCAGTGCCCCAATAGGTGCGACGTCAACGTCTTGGCTAGAGAAGACCTCGAAACTCACTTGAAGGAAGAGTGTACCGTCTCAGTACATAGCTGCAGCTTCAAGGAAGCCGGGTGTAGGTTCAAGGGCCCGAGGTACGCCATGGAAAAACACCTGGAGGAGAACTGCCAGCAGCATTTGACTCTGATGTGCAATGTGGTGTCCAAGCAACAGCACCAGATTAGTTCATTGAAGAGCGCCTTGTCCAGGTTGTCACTGAATTATTCCGGGACTCTGATCTGGAAGATTAGCGATTTTTCTGCGAAGATGGCCGAAGCCAAGAACAAGGAAGGCATGGAGCTGGTTTCCCCACCATTTTATACTAGTCAGTATGGATACAAACTCCAGGTAAGAAAGTGACTGATCCCACTTCTGATAATAATGATCCCATTTCTGATAAAGTGACCTCACTTGTCTTAATGTAGGAAGATACAGCAACTCAATATTTTTCGATTTTTGAATAAACCAGTTATTAAAATTTGTCAGTACCATGAGTGTATGTAATTTATTAATATCATTAATGGTTAACTACGTTGTTTTTTGGAGTGCTGAATATATACCTACCGATATTTTTTCATAAATTATTAAACAAATCTCTATCCCCAATATGATATCAAATAACGTAAACATTGCCCTTAAAATGCGAATAGGCAAAAGTTTCATTGATTACTACTAATTTAAAACAATAAATTATTTTCCGAAATAAGGAATAAGAAAAATCAACACTGAAACAAAAAATAACTGTTTTGGCAACATCATTTGAAGTAAAACCTTTTGCATGCCAGTAAGTCTCATTTAATTATTTTTCTGTATCAGATTGTTACGCTTGTCTAGCAATTGTATTTTTTATTTAAAAGAAATACACCAGAAATATTTCAGTAGGGATAATAAAAAATATTAAAAAATAAAAATGTGTAAAACCTAGAAACTTGATTTGACGGGTCTCGTTATTATACACTATGTTTTTAAAGATACTAGATTTCAGTAGGCAAATATTAGCCTAACGTATTCGTTAAAGACAAAAACCAATCTAAGTAGGTACGTTCGTGTCCCGATTAAAAATATTGATGATAATTCATATTGTAGCAACTAGAGTTATATACCAAATTTTGTTATAGTGTGGCAGATTCCTGATAACAGTGATTAACATACATTTCTTTGCAGGCATCTCTCTTCCCCAATGGAAATGGCGCCGGTGAAGATTCCCACATCTCCGTCTACATAAAAATCCTCCCAGGCGAGTATGACGCTTTGCTGCGCTGGCCTTTCGCTCACTCCGTCTCCTTCACCCTCTTCGACCAGTCCACTTGTCCGGAAAAGGCGTGCAATATCGTCGAGAGTTTCATTCCAGACCCCACGTGGAAGAACTTCCAGAGGCCCAGCCGAGAGCCCGATTCTCTCGGTTTCGGATTCCCCAAGTTTGTCTCGCATGAAATGCTGAAGAAGAGGCATTTCATGAAGGATGACACAATGTTCATAAGGGTGAAAGTAGACCCCAGTAAGATTGTTGCCGTATGAATGCTGCGTCTTTGTTAATTTTGTTGATCTCATTGTGATTTGTACATAGTGTAAAAATGTACATAGATTTTCAGATGTATCGTTATATTTGATGAAGACTGTATATTGTATGATTCTACGTATGGTTTCTTTGGGGTTTCTCTATGAGTGTGTTGAGGTGAGGTTTGTATACTTTTTTGTGTTCTTGGGGAAGGTTTTTTAATACAACTCAACACAATTGTTTTTGCAAATTCCAAAAAAGCTCATCTTCTTTTTTTTGTTTGAAGCTAAACTGTAGTTTAAATTAGTCTACTTCAATATTTCCTTCTCTTGTGTTTGAATGTGTTTTTGTATAAGACTATATTATACTATAACTTATAAGGTTAAAAATCTCTAATTTGTTCAATAACTCGTCCAAAGTGACACTTTATTTCGTGTTAGGTGTGTTAATTTGGATAACATTGTTTCTTTTTGTATGATAGCGATATATTGCATTTTTGTTTTTGGTATTTTTATAAAGAGAGGTTAGGTTGCTCAGGAAATTTGTAAAAAGTGTCAAAATTATATGTGTGTATTTTTTTGTGATAGCTGGAGAACACCAAAGTTTTGTTTATACTATTTTTGTAAATATAGCATCTAATGGCAAAATGTACTCTGTACGTATACTTAGTCAGTTCTAGGTTAATTTTATACTCTTACTACATACCTTTGAGTTTATTAATAAACGAATATGGTAAACATGACACATGGTGTTTCATTTTAGTGTTAATAAAAACTTGATCCCCAAGATAATATCAATTTTATGTACAGAGCCTTTATAATTGATTACGAGCTTAGGCAACTTTGGCGTCGCCGATATTAATAATTCGTTCACAGTGAACAATGACAAACCATTACGTCTACGCTCGAGATAATGGGATCGCTGATTGGATGAATAAAATGTGAAAAATTACACCAATCGCAAGCCGATGAAACAGCTCTATCATAACCTTGACCTTATTGTTTTAAAAACTTTTAATTTTACGAAAATTGAATTCTCAATGCGAAGGAAATAAAATTACTGTTTCAAACAAAATTGCTGGTAACGTGGCTTTTATGAAGACTGTATAAGCCTATTATAGGCATCGTGTATATTTACACACTATTTGGTGGGCTAACTTCTTTATTGTGGCAGGCAATCATAAGTACAATGATGTGTGTATATGGTTGTCTATACATAGTGATATACTATTTTATAAACATTTTTTATTGTATGTATACAAATTACTTATCTCTTACATCATCGTAGTAATAAAAAACAGAATACTACTACATAAATTGTTACATTTTAGAAAACATTTTATATTTCGATAATAGGTATTGTTTATGCAGCCAACAATACAATGTCATTGTATATATAGTTGCCTAAACAATTTATATAAGAAATGCAGTCGTCATAGGAAACAATATTTGTATATAAAGTATACAAAGTTGCCGATATCTCTCCACGGCAGTAATGAGATAAGTAGGATCATATTCGATGCAAAGTAATAAATCATTACCTGTCAAGGGATCCAGTGCCATACGCTTTTAAGGGTTTTATAAATTGAATAATTTCTTTACACATTACGAAAAAACAAAGGGATCAGTTCACATCTGGCACCCTTGTTCCTACAAAAATTCTTTTATTCTCATAAACTATTTATTTTAAATGTAATTTATTATAAATCCAATTTGTTTTTTAAATTCCACATATGTGGGTACTACATTTTACCTTTGTACGCGCCACTATTTACTTGGTTTTTGGAGGCACTCTCTGTTTTACGATCAAGCTCGCCAGGTTAGTATTTGACGTATAACCGACCACTTCGTACACTCGATGCACCTGGGCGACTACAGCTACTACCAGAACACAGTGCGTATGCAGCGGTATTTCAGATTTTACATTCAATTTCATTTTAAATTTGAAATGGTTCATCTTACGCCTCTTAAAAATTATGACACAATTTTCCTTTGATAAAAGACCGACAACTTTTTGTTCTACTATGCATCGAATACGATCCTACTGTACCTATGAAATAAATTTTCAAATAAATATAGGAATTTAAAGTTTGGAGCATTATTCCTACTTTGATTTATCTATGTTTTATTGAATACATATATTTTGCAATACCATTATTTACTTATAAATCGGAAATGAAACATCTTTAGGACATTTTATAAAAAAAACATATACTTGGTTTCTACTTACAAACCAACTAATTTTTTTTGTTACATGAAGTACATAATTCATATATCGTGTTACAAACCATTCTATAGTAGTTTCTATATAGGTTTGGAAGATTTACATTATTATAATGCCATTTAATTTAAGGAAACCTCATATGAATCACTTACTTGAAATGCAAGAGTTCGTAGAATGATTGATATCTGCGTATACGCAGTTTTAAGAATTTTATTACAGATACGCACAGAGAAACCTTACAGTTTGTCCAATTAATAAACCAGGGAAATTCAATAATACAGAATTACTGTTATTGCAGAAAGCCGAGTGGTCGTTATGAAAATTAAAATAATTTTACGAGCTTTCACTTTTAGGTCTGTGTAGTTAGTTTTGCTACACTTATGTATTACAAAATACATTATGCAATGGTTTTGCTGCCTTGCATTTAACCAGTCACATATGATTTGAGAAAAATTCTTATAAAACAAAAACATTGTGTAATACCCACTGGAAAATAAATATTGTTTGTATTGTACAGAGGAAATATATTGTATATAATATTCATTTTGAAAACGTGATATACTTATACAAAAAATTGTCAGGCTATTTATTCTGCGTCTGACAGGTTTTTCAATAAAAATTATAACGTGCAAAACTGTGGCTTTTTTTAACGCGGCAAGTTAATTAATTATACAACTGCAAGAGACAATGAACTTTGGAACAAATAAACTTCTAAGCGATTTTCAATGACAAAAAAGTTAGTCGTTAGGTTAATTATAATTAACTAATATCAATTCAATTACCGTTTTAGTTTCTAAGAATTATTTGTGCGGAGACTCACGTTTTAATATAATAAATATATAATTATGATATCAATTGAACTTTACCAGGTCGTTTCTTTCCTTGGTTTCATGTGGTTGTTTTTTTATTTGTTATAATCACAGATCTGAAACGTCCAAAGGTTATAAAACAACTGCTAATCTTACGTAACAGTATTTTGTATATACAGGGTTAGTCAAAAATATGGAAACCCCAAAAAACCTCAGCGGGAAAGCATTTTTGGAATAAATGGCGAGGACAAGTCACAGCAATTTTTACGGCGCATCCGACGGTAACCTTGACCTTGAGGTCAAGGTCAAGGTCAGAGGTCAAGGTTCAAGGTTATATCAAGATCCAGTCGGTTTTTTAAATGGCGGCCCTAATTTTCGATCCCGGAAATGAAGAGAGAAAATTCTGAATCCGAATATGACATTGATCGTGACCTCAAGGTCAATGATCAAGGTCACTTCAAGGTGAAATATTGATTTTTACTGTAAATTTTTATGTTTAACTACGGAATCAGAGGGAGTGACAATCTTTGAATAGATACCGGATTATACTCCTTAGTGACCTTGATCTTGAAGTCAAGGTCGAAAGAACATGTCAAGGTCATATCGGTTTTTGGAGTAACAACTCCTTATTTCGACGCTAGAAGAGTGTGTAAAATTCTATATGTTATTTTGATCTTAACCGCGACATTAAGGTCAATGCTCAAGGTCAGGCAGAGGTGAAGTGAGTATTTCGGTTGACATTTTTTATTATCGACGATGGAATAGAAGGGACTCACAATTTTTTACTGACCTCAAGATTAAGGTCACTTAGGAGTACCATCTACTCAAAGACTATCACTTCCTCTGATTCCGTAGTTAAAAATAAAAAATTACAGGAAAAATCAACATTTGACCTTGAACTGATCTTGAAGTCACGGTGAATGTCATATTCGGATGCATAATTTTTTGCTCTTTCCATTTCCGGGATCGAAAAGGAGGGTCGCCATGTAAAAAAACTGACTTGATCTTGACATGACCTTGAACCTTGACCTTGACCTGAACATCAAGGTTAACATCGGATGCGCCGTGAAAAATGCTGAGACTTTTGTCCTCAACATTTATCCCAAAAATTCTTTCCCGCTGAGATTTTTGGGGTTTCCACACTTTTGACTAACCCTTTATAAGAAAACTTTGGACAAATACGTCTTACTGTGGTTCACAGGAAAGGAATATTTGTCGAATATCGATACCCTTCTCCAGTTATGAGCATATCCGTATGTAATTCAATCTTCAATACAAGAATTAGTAAAAAGGAACAACCTCACCGGTGCCAACATTCCAATTAAAAGTGAAAAATTAATGTGATTTTCAGCTTGCAATAAATCCTACTACTACTTTTAAATAGTCAATAGTTAAAAGGATACTTCGATAAGGCATATAAACGTTTATATAAACGAACAACACTTTATTGTTTGAAATAAAATCAACGATATGGTTCAGCTGCTTGAGCCGCAATTTAAACATTATTTTTATCGCAAATATTCAGTAAATTGACATGAAATTACAACAGTTTTCTAGAGACACGAATTTTCAATTAAGCGGTAACTTCAAGTCGCACTAACAAGCTTGTAGCATGTGTAATGCACAGTACGCGATTTTTTATAGCTTGTTGCAGGGTGACTAATTTATAAAACAACTTACTACACTTAGAATTTAACAATATTGGAGTTGCTGACCGGATATCGTTGAGTCACTAGAGCAATGTTCCAAATTCGCAAACCACTGTTGACATAAGAATTAGCAAAATCGGGAATGAAAGAAATATATTGTTATCAATATCAAAATCCATATAATTGTAATAATTTGTCGTCAAATTTTAATTAAAAAGAGCGACATTTATATTACGATTACTTCCCTGTAATAGTACGTATTACCTAATAATTTGTAGATTTTTCATATCCTCGAACAATATTGCAGCATGTATTACAATTGTATGAACGTTGTTCTTTGTACCAAGGGCGTCGCCAGCCAATGGGCCACGTTGAGGCAAGATAAAAGAGACGATGAAAGAAATATAAATTGTAGTTACAAATAGGTACAATGATTTAAGTTTATAAAAAATTTAAATATATAAATTTCTTAAATCTATGGGTAAACCTACAAAATTAAAAACGTTTTGCCTCCCCTACAAAATACATAGGTCTTCAAAATTGGTGCGTTACACATACAGGGTATTTCTTGAGTAGAGGTCAAAAATCCAGGGATGTATTCTGTGGCCAAAAATGTTTTTTTTTAATATATAAATGTGGGGTCTTAGGTCCGCCATTGTCCACCTACAGCGCAGCGTGACAAAAAATTAAAAAAAAAATCAGTTTTTAATTTTTAATTTCTAAACCACTTGAGATAATTTAACCAAATTCGGTGTGCGTATTTAGTATGAAAGTAAGTATTAAACAAAAAATTGCCAGCTTTAGAAACCTACCAGTGGCAGAGGTGTGGGTATTATCGGTCATTGTTTGCCAGAAACAAAATGTATCACCCTGTATAATATTACAAATAAAATAGGTCATCATATGCGCCATTGTATTATCTTCACTTTTTGTTTCGTTACACTTTTTTTTATTAACAACAATATTGATTTATTTGATCAGGTGCATTTTTACGATACTCATTACATTAAAATAATAACAAAATAATTAATTTATCTCTACTTAAGAAACATCCTGTACAGTTAGTTGCACTGTTAATAATAGATAATTTTTTTTCTTCTTTATTTAAAATTCAAGAGCAAGAATTTCTCATACAAATGACTATTTATACTAATTTAGTACAATTGTTTTTTTTTAACTAAATAAAAACTTCCAATATTTTATTGGTTTAAGAAAATGTTTGTACATTTTTTCGAATTTCGACGCCCTTGCTTTGTACTTTATAATAAAATATATACATATTTAATGTTATTCTCAAAATACTAATTGATGCAAAGTAAATATTCGGTAAAAGAATATTACACCCGGTGTCCCAATATTCTACGTACATGAAAGTACATAGATCTTTGTGACCAAAATAAAGCGATTTACTAAACTCATCTACTCAAAGTTTCTTTTTTAGTAATTACAGGCCATTAAAGTTGGAAAAAAATAGCTTAGTTCGATTTAAATGAATTATGATGCTAATACACGTTTATATGTCACTTTTTGACTTTATAACCGGATTTATATTTACAGAAATAGGAAAAATACCCTAACTCCTTAGCAAATACTTATTTTTTTTTGTGGTGGTGTTACATTTATTGTTTTATCAGAGGAAGAGGAAGGACTTTCAAAATTTTTCCTCTTGTATATTTTTTGTATTTCTAATGGTTTTAAATTATTTGATTTCTTATTAGAAATTTAATAATAAAATCGTTTGAAGAGCATGTTAGATTTATTCGATGAAAAACGCAATTCATAATTCATTCATCATTTGCAAAATTAACAAAAATCTGAAATAAGTGTAATATTTTTTTATTTACTGAATTAAACGATTCTAAATTCTAAATAAAGTAATATCCGATCACTACAAATTTCATTTAAATCAAACAAAGTGCTTTCCAGTTATATCTAAAACCTAACACTTTTGTTTTAAATTTTAAAACATTCTAAACAAAACTACTTTTTTAATTATTTGGTACCCATGTTTATGCCACACGAGAACGTAATAAAATATCTGCATACGCTGATTTATTGCTGTTGCTGCATACTTATCTTTGGGCGTTGAAAATAAATTACCAGGAAATGTTTAATCACAGTTAATTTTTACAGCAATTTACAACGCCAAAAGATTTCAATATTATGCGAAAATATCTTAAATGCGGTTTTACATTTCATGAGAGAAAAATATTTTTTATAACAGTGGAAGTAGTGTAACATTTTCAGGACACCTGACCATAATAGAAGCGGGAAAAAGTAAAACATTATTTGAAAATTCCGTTTTACATTTGATGAAGGAAAATAGTTATTTTTTATTCTAGTTTGTGGTGTAGGTACCGGTTTTGCATTTAAGAATGAATTGAAAAAAAATAAAATAAAATAATAATAATAATAATAATAATAATAATAATAATAATATCTCTACTCCTCATTCTAACTACGAGAGTTATAATAATAATAATAATAATAATAATAATAATAATAATAATAATAATAATGCATTTATTGCCCAACAGAACAAATGTTCCAATTACAGGACAAAAAAGTATAGACATTCAAGTACAAAACACTAAAAATATAAAAAATTATAGTTCTAAATAAATACAAATAGATATATAAACTACAAAATACGTTCTAGTTTCTACAATATCAATTAAAATTTATTAAATTAAAAAATTATTTATGGTACAGTAGTTTATATCACACTGCGTAGATATTATTATGTTAAAATATTACGTCTTAAGTGTTAAATATGAGTAAAATGGAAAGGGAAGTGAATTTTTTAAATGTCGAATGTTCCCCTCGAAAGTATAGAAAGCCACAAAAAGTGCATTAATGCAATTTATTTCTCAAAAATCTGCTAGACAATATGACTTCAAAAAGTGAAATTAACAGATCGTGTAACAGTGACTCCTACATTATTGCAAATTACTCCATGGTAAAAAGTACATTTAACGTTAAAGAAAATATAAAAAGATTTTCAAAATTGGTGCCCTACTTGAAAAATAAATCGTCCAAAAAAGTATCAAGTTTTGATAGTAGAAATCGAAACATTTATACAAAAAGCCTCTGGACAATTTTCATTAATGAAGGTAGTAAGTAATTCAAGTTGTCTTTTTCAAAATTTCAAGCTCTGGGGCGCAGCCGCCCCCCCCCCCTAGAATAAGTAACAGTAAAAAAATAATTTAATATTTAGTTTACTATGTTTTCCATTAAATAGATTAGACTTAAGAAATTCATTAAAAAGGAATTGTTAAATTTGTAATATGCAGTCAATTTAACTCGAGACTCGCCCCTAAATCGCTAAAGTGTTTACAGCGGTGGTCATGGCTATTGCCGCGCAGCAGTGAAAGTAGTTGAAAAGTTTATTTCGGACAAAAGCACAAGAATGGACTTTTACTATAAAAAATAATGTTGAGAACATTTTTCCTATATTTCAGTAGTACTTAAAATAAAATCCAATTATATTTGATTTTTTTATCAATACTTTGTATCTAAATTGTTCATCCTCCCAGGTATGGGAGTCATGAACCACCACTATTGAATATGATAGTACAATATATAGAACACAAAAGTTATTGGTTATCATTAGTATGCCTGATAGCAAGACACGTATTCAAAAGGATATTATTTCAGGTGTATTTTATATTACATAGCGTTTTAAATTTACTAAAAATTGAAGAATTTTCATTAGATATGCTTAACGGAAAATGGAATGGCTAATCAAGTGGTTGGTATTAATAAAATAAGAAGCACTTGAAAGACTATAGCGGCCATTGTTTTAGATGCTTTTCTGCGATGATTTTAGCTGATATTACCCCCATCAAATGACACGAGGTTTCGAAGTCTATTTCAGTGCAGGAAACGTACATTCGAAACTATTGAGTTTAAAATTCATATTTCAAGTAGAATCTCTTCGAAAGTGGTTGAAATTTCAAATTCATTTGCTCCGTCAGCATCAATACCTGATAATCTATCGAAAATTAATTCTTGTGCTATAACTGTAGCTTCAATATAACGTCTGAAATAAACTGTTCAACTATAATATTAGGAAAGTCAATTTCCAATTTCCGAAGAAGGAAAATGATAGTTGATTTGGTTAATTTTGATTAAATTAAATCAATTTTCAAAAGTAACTAGGTGTACCTACTATTGAATTAATATATCGAATTATTAAATTAATAAGCAACAGTCATATGAAAAAAGACTTTTTATCTTTCACCCAGTTTCACAATCTGTGGTGTAAGTTAACCTGAAGATTTGTAGTTAAAAGTTAACTTATAAAGAGGTAACTGATATATTAAAAATATAAATCAAAAATGAATTTTGAAAATTACGAGGTAAATGCTTACAGGAGCGATGAATATGACCCAAAAGACTTTTTCACAAGATTTAGGATTTCCCCACGTACAGTAGAAAATTTATTGGAAGAAATACAGGCTATTAATCAGCGTACGCAAAGGTACATGTTCTATATTTCTATAGGTATATTTTGAAAATTACAGTACCAAACTTTTTTATTTCTTATGTAGAAATAACTATCTCAATGTCAGATAACAGCTATTTTTGACATTTTGTTTGCCAATGCAACTTTTCTAAGAACCTCTTCAGATTTCTGTGGAGTTACTAAAGCCATAGCAAGTAGAGTCGTGAGAATTATTATTTTTCTTATTATTGCACTTATCTTCCATGCTAAAAAGTTAAAAAGCACAGTATATTATGCTAAATAATATGTAAAGGAAATAGACAGGTACTGAAAACTGTCACAAAATATGTCACTACAGGTTATTTCTTCCTATTCTTCTAAATTTTGTCACTTGTCTACTGCAATAAATTTGTAACAACATTCTAACAGTGACTATAACAAGAATCACTGATTCTAACAATCAGCTTAACCTTACCTAGAAGATAACCAACACTTATGAAACTAGCCGCTAGAATAATACTGTTCTTTTCGTTCCAGTGAACTAAGGGGCCTTTTTAACACATGGAAACATAATTAAAATGTTAACCTGTTACGACAACTTTTCGAAAGTTCTTTTTTATAATTGTATATGTACGTATTGAAATATTTTCAGGCCACATCGTAACCGACCACAGTACGCCAGCATAAGGAATAAGTTGGCAGAAGGAAGCCAGCAGGAATGTTACCTTCCTCAAGGAAGTCGGCATCCAATCAACAATATTTTTCACATATTACGTAGTAGCATCTACGGTGCACGCGAGTACCATTTGATCGAAACCAAAAGTATTTCCCTCTCTGCTTGAACTGGGAAACTTTCTTTTCACCTCAAACAAACAGTCCGCAGCCAATAGAACCATAGAAAGGCGCCTTGCGTTTCACTTTCTCACTGCGGCCAGTCAGTTGCGGCGTTCGAGGAAATCGCAGTCCGTTGGATCCCTCTCGATTTTCCCGATACCACCGTTAATAATTTAGTAAAAGGGGTGCAACGACTTTTACTTAATAAATTATTAGTTTTTATTGACGTTTATAGGGAAGTAACGTTAGTTTCCTTTGACATTTGAACCCGTGCCGACGGCATGGTCTGAATTGAAATAGTGACCGTAGTGTTTTTGGGGGGTAGTGCTCTGGGATTTACCGATTTTTCGACGAAATGGAGGGCGAACACGATTCCTCTGCCCCGAACAACGACGACAAAGTCAAGCGGATGTTCTCGTGGAGCAACAACGCAATAAGGTAGGCCCGAGTCCATTTTATATAACCTTAGAACTACCGTTCACTCGTTGTTTTTTTTAAACTGTCGTCCAAAGTGCGTTGGAAGTGGTGAAACGGTCGCCTTCGTGGCCGCTCTCGTTGCGACACCCGGCCGACAAGGTCGGAACGTGCAACCTGGTGTGGTTACAAAACGGTTTCCCCTAGATTTTCAGGCACACTCGAATCCTGAAGCGATTCGGGTAAGGGGTTGTGCAACGCGACGATTCGACACATCGAAGAACGTTATAAATGCAAGTTATTATAATTCGCTTTCTAACCTCAATATCATATAGTGTTACTTCGTCGTTTCATTGGCGTAGCAGCTGTTTTGATGAGAATGATATATTTATTTTTTTAATATGTTTCGGAAAAAAAAACAAATTTATAAGTTAACAGACCATTAAAAACAAAAAGATTATTTGTTATGGATCATGGATTTATCGTCATTTGTTTTCAACATACAATCAAACATGAAAAATGTACTAACTAACTACTTTTTGTGATTGTTGTAAAATGAAAGGAAAATGTATTTAAGAACATTAATCGAGTGACCTTTAAACTGAAAATATTAGATCGCAACACCAATTTTGTTAACAAATCAGTTTCAATTAAATAACAACACGCAAAAATGCTATAAAATATCTGGTTGAATCTTTAAATGTCGTCATTAGTTTTAATTGCCATTAATTTGAGTTTGCAACTAATATTACAGAGAAAACAAAACTAAGGTCTTTAACAGAAACTTTGATGTAAGTAAATTGTACTGATTTTAATATGACGAAATTTAATCAGTGCATATACAGATCTCTATATTTAGTTTTTTATGTAATACGCAAAAAACCTGAACTAGCTTTATGTAGAAATCTAGCAGATACGGTTTTTCTTTATATGTATAACATAAAAACTTATGGTTTTTGAGAAATACGTGATTGAATATGGATCTGCTAGAGGTCACTATTTACGACTTTTCTTAGTGACATTTTATAACACAACTTCTTTGAGGTTAGGTTCTTTACTGTGTATGTCATATGTCATATTTTACAATGTAAAGTTTCATCTTAAATAAAAAAATATATTCTTGTCAAAATCACTGTAAACGCACTGTTTCTAGAAAAAATACAATGTCCTAAAGTCTACCAGCTTCTAATCCTTAAAATACAGGGTGTAAGCAAAAGAATGGGTAACTTCTCTTGATGAGAATAAACACGTTTGGATTACGTTACGTTCTTCAAATTTTGCATCTTTAAGAAGTTATCAGTCTTTAAAAATAAGCTTTTTAATATAACTCCCTCAGTTCTGTATACAGGGTGTGTCATTTAATACTCCCGCTGCCAATATCTCCGAAATGAAGAAATTTATTTTAGTTCCGGAAACTGGGATTGTAAGGACCCTCCAATAGCTTCAAATTGCAGTTAGAAGTATTAGTTAAAATCTTTCTGTATAGAGCGTACTAAAAAATTGTTTGATTCCTAGAACACGGAAATGCGGTTCATCTGAAAGATCGTAAAATTTTGAGTAATTTTTGTAATATAAAGTTTTTCCCGATATTTACTTGTTTCGGAGACATGTCGACTTCAATATTCAATGTATGACGTAACAGGAAAATCTATTATTTTATTTAAATCGCACTGACAAAATATTCTTTTAAAATATTGTTATAATGGCTTTATTCACACCACATACTAACCAACAAACAATAAATTATAAAAAAACAAATGATCAACTGCAGAAAAAAATTGTACAATGGTAAATTTTATAAGGTGCAGAGACAAACCGTATTTTATCAATTTATGCAACTACTTAGATCGTGACATTTTATTAACAGTCTGTAATGTCGAACTAACGAGAAGGCTAACTTTGGTATTACTGCTGAAGGATGCAATTTTGAACACTTATTATAATCTTTGTTTTAACTTAGTTCAGTAACTATATCTCCGTTATTATTTTAAATACTTTCTGTTACTTTTTCTGTATCTATCTCTCAGATGGACCGCATTTCCACGTTCCAGGAATCAAAAAATGATTTAGTATCGCCACGCCATCTATACCGAAAGATTTGAACTAACAATTCTGACTGCAACTTGAAGCTATTCGAGGGACCTAACAACCCCAGTTTGGGAACTAAAATAAATTTCTTCATTTCGGAGATATTGGCAGCGAGAGTGTTAAATTTATTTATTTATTGAAACTTATAGTCAATATTTAGTTTCAAGAAATGGATTTCTTAACGATGTATGTGATTCACAATATTGTAAATAAATACCAAATGATTTTGTGAACGATATATGAGATATGTGGTTCACAATATTGTAAATATCTACTTTGATCCTTCAGTAAGTTCAGCAATTTGTGTATAGAGCTGGTGCGATTGCAATTAAAGCAATAACATGACTTTGATACCGGGATCGTACTCGTATCAAACTACTTTCTTTTTTCTTTTAGTATTTCAATAATTTACTTATGCCATCAAGTAACAACAATCATTTTAAATTAAATGACTATTTATATGAAGTAGTTAATGCAGACGTACAAAATAAAAAATATGAAAACAGGGAGGGTGAGCTGAATACGACTCTGTTATTAGCCGAACTACCCGAACTCTATTAATTTTCTAAGAGGAAAATGAATGAAATGAATTTATTGAAGTAAGCATTACCACAATCCTACCTCCTTATAACCGCTACTGCATAAAATAACTTTCATGTTTCATATTCCATATACGTAAAACAATGCGTGTTCTCTTCTTAGTCAAAAGCGATGCGGCTACATAATATTATACTAGGCTGGTTTAAAACAGTACATGTTTGTAAGCGAACTTAGCCTTATAAAATTTTGAATTTTTCTTTGATCTGATCAATTCAGATAGAAGCCGCTCTGAGAAAGTAACAAATAAAGTTATTATTGCAAAAGGAAAAAGTAGTACAATTCCTTCCTTGTGAGTAGTTTACAGCTCATAACGTTTCGTTTATCTACAGCCATCTTCAAGATACATTTTCTGAACATCAACCTACAATAAATTCTAAAGAATGTAAGTTTTTTCTGTTCTAGCTGTATTTAATGATATTAATTAGTCATATTTAAAATCAAACAAATAAAATTAATTCAATATTCAAATTCACTCTTTACCTATATTTCGCTACAGGCAAATGAAATTTTATCTGTCTAGAGAAGCAATATTCATTTAAAATCATCTCTATCTCTGTCAATCTGAAATTTGTGAATTGTTATTCGCCATGCTTGAAAATAGACAGTTGTGCCAGTATTTTGTCGTTATTTATTAAGCCAATATAGTTTAACTATTAAGTGCCTCAAATCTATGTAAAAAACATTCCATCAGATTGACTCTCTTAGTGGTAACCCAACTTCCTCAATTTTTGGTCATTTATTCTCAATTTAACACCAATTTTTTGCATATTTCGAGTTACCTGTCTGTGAAAAAACGTTATTCCATTGTCCAGAGCCTCTATGAATTGTTATAATAATGTTGTAAACAGATTTCAAAAGACTGCTTTTTTTGGAAAAAAATAATTTTTGACGTAGGTTTAAGGAATTTTCTAGTGAAAATGTTAGTCGGGGTTTTTGAGGTCGCTCATTACGAATCAAAAATACAAATTGACAATTGACAATTCAAAAATGTATCATGTTGACGTGACTTTTGGCATCTTCGAAAATATTGCTGGTGAAAGGTTTTTTAACATTGCCGAATCTGAATTTGACATCAGAAATGACTATTGATTGTTAACAACTGTCACGTCGATGCTGTCAAAATGACTTTTACGATGAAGTGAAGTGGGGAGTGGGAGAAAGATCAGGAATGAGTAATGTTTCAGGAAAGACCAAATTTTTTTCGTCAAATTTGGAATTCCCACTCCCAAAAATCCATGGAATGACTCTGGAAAAACCAATTCATTCTGTTACATATTTTGACAGCATATATAACCTCTGTCAACTGCCAAGAAGGCATTTTTGATATCGGATTCGGAATCGGCGACGTCAAAAACCCCTAAGCGACATTACACAAGATCTCGAGTCGGTTCGTTAATACGACACCGTTTTGGCAGCTGTCAACAGTAAAATTGTATTTTTGACCTTAGGGACTCTGAAAACTTAAGGATCCGTGGCGAAAATGTCACTGTGTTTTCGTGAAAAATGTGTGCTTCAAAGGGTTGAGGGTACCTAGGATATACGTCGACCGATGGCGCCATTATCCTATAACACCCGTGGTACTTTTAACATGTAAAATCATACTAATCAAAGGATCAAATTCGAAAATGGTTTGATATACGAGAATAGCTGGTACCGTATATATTTGACACTTAATCTATACTGATGACAATAAAGTTAACTTGTAATTTATATTTTAAAAATGATTTATTTCCATGATAATGCATTTTAAATTTGTCCGAGGGTGTTACATATTCGTAACACTGGAGACTAGTAGGGTTTCAAATTTTTATCGGGCTACAAATATCATTTGAAAAAGCAACTCTGAATCATAAATTTAAATACAATAAGCAAACATTCATAAATAGACAATAATTAATACTGACACACGTGTGCCAATTTAACCATTAATTGTATTATTTTTTATTCTGACGGTCAATTACTGAATCGACCCCATTCTGCTCGTATATGGTCCGAAGGTTTATGTAATCCTCGAGGTTACAGAAGCAAAAATGTATTCGCACTCTCCATTACTGAATTTATTGTTGCATTCATTCTAATGAGGATTTCAAAACCATCATCGGATTGTTCCTGGTTTCGACAGAATAAAATCGGCAAAAAAAGAAACCAACATGGATGGAAAGGGTAAGAGCTGTAATATTCCGGAATTAACGAGTAGATTTTTTAGTTCTCGCAATTGATTACCAATCACGATGCGTAATGAAATGTGCCAGCGTTGGCCTTGTTTTTACGCAGAATATTGTGCATTGCAAACTATTAGACAGTTCATACCGACTACATGTCGGGGTAAATCGTCA